GTTATCTCTTTTGGATTGTTCCCTTAACAAGGATATAGCAACTTTTGTCTCTCTTAATCAGTCTTGGCTTGAAATCCACTTTGTCTGCAAATAGAATAGCTACTTCTTCTTTTTTCAAGATTCGTGTCACATGAAATATTGTTTTCCATCCTTTGACTTTCAGTCCATGAATTTCTTTTTTAATTAAAAGTGTTTATTGTAGGGCTGGAGATTTAACTTAGTGATGCCACTGACTGCCTTGTAAGCACAAGGACCTGAGTTTGATCCCCGGTACCCCTCAAAAAGAAAAGTGTGTTCTTGTATGCAGCATATTGTTGGATCTTGCTTCTTGGTCCATTCTGCCGGTCTGATTCTTTTGATTGGTGAATTGAGACCATTTACATTGATGGTTATAATTAACATGTATTGACTTATCCTTGTCACGTTGTTTTCTTGTTGTTGGTCCCCCCCCATGTAATCACTTGCCTTTCCTAGTGGATTCATTCTGTTGGTGTTCATGGAGTTGTAGTCCTTGCTATCTCTTTCCAGAATGTCCTTTAGAACATTCTAGAGTGCTGATTTGGTGGTCATAAATTTCTTCAGGTGTTCTTTGTAATGGAAGTATCTCATTCTCCATCATTTTTTTTTCTCTCAATCAATTTTGAAAGATAGTTTTGTGGGGTATTTCAATCTTGGTTGGAGGTTGTTTACTTTTTAAAGCTTGAAATGCTTCACTCCAAGCTCTCCTTGACTTGAGTCTTTGGGTTGACAAGTCTGCTGTGATTCTGATGGGCTTTCCTTTATATGTGATTTGTTTCTTTTCTCTAATAGCTTTTAATATTCTGTCCTTGTGTTGAATTTCTGGAATCTTGACTATTATATGCCTTGGTTTTTTGTTTGTTTGTTTGTTTTTTGTTTTTTGGTACCGGGGATCAAACTGCTTGTGAGGCAGGAGGTGGAACCACTGAGCTAAATCCCCAGCCTGCCTTATTGTTTTGTGATCATGGCTAATTCTAGGTCTGTATGCCTCATGTATCAGTATGTCAAATTCTTTTTCCATGCTTGGGAAGTTTTCTGCCATGACTTCTGTGAACCTCATTTTTTAATGTTGTTTGTGCTATCTCCTGCTTTTTCATTGACTCTGATAAATCTTGTGTCATCCTTCTTTGCATCATCTAGCAGGTATAAGATTGATTTTTTTATGGTCCCTTGCTATTTTTAGGAAATCTTTCTTTTCATGATCACTAACTACAATCCTATCTTCTAGATCTGATATTCTGTCTTCACAGGGTCATCTGCTATATACACTTTCAATGGAATTTTTAGTTTCCTAGCTATATGTTTGACCCTTTCATGGATTCCATTTCTTTTCTCCCATCTAAGTACTAACCAGGCCCAACCCTGCCCAGCTTCTGAGATCAGATGAGATCAGGCATGTTCAGGGTGGCGTGGCTATAGACTCTATTTCTTTCCTATGTTGCGTGTTCCTGGTTTCTATCATTTTCCTAAGCTCTTCTATTTTTTTAAAACATAGAGTCACTAACTGTGTCTTTCATTATAGTCACCATCCCTGTAGTTATCTGAGAGAATATTTCTGATTTGATTTTTTTTTCTAGTGCCTCATTCACCTGCCTTGTTACTTCTGTTGTTTCCATTTCAGTGAGTCCAGGTGGGAGATTTTCAAATTGTTCCACCTCATTACCCCATGGGTTTGCCTTTGATGAGCTGGAAGTCTGATATTGTATTTTGCTTAAGTGTCTTCTCATTTATTTTTTCTTTCTTTCTTTTTTAAGTTTAATTTTTGGATTGTTGCCTGTAAATTGCTTATGGTGGGTAGCTTCATTGCTAGTATTTAGAACCCTTAGGAAATGACTATTCTCAGAGATGTTGTCCATGTGTAGGTGGCTTTTCAGTTTTAAGTCTGTTGCAAGATCCTCCCTCTTCAATTTATTGGAGCTGAGAAGTTGCTGCCTATTTGGCCAAGCCCCTGGCTTTTTATTTTCTTCACTGGTTTATCGTATCATTTATGACCCTTAGGCAATCTCAGTCTTGATATAGCAGGGAGAACGACTGACTAGAACAGTTATGTCACTTTGGCTAAATTAGTACAATCAGTGACAACAATAGCATCAAACACAGCCTAGAAAATGAACCACTGTGGTAAGTACTACTTTGTTACCTTTAACTATATTAACTATATTTGTGATTACATAACAAAATCTAAAGCAAACCAGAAAATTGTATATAGTAAATACATCCTCAAAATAGTGAATTTACCCTCAGGGAAGAAAATTTAAAAGGTGTTGGGGGAAAATAGTGAAAGAGAAGAAGAGGAAAGATTAGAAGCAAGGCTGAAGGACAAAGGAAGATTATGTGAACTTGGGAAACTGGTGAAGAAGCTGGGAGGGAAACAGAGAAGGAAGAAATAAAAATAAGAATAGAACAACAACAACAACAAACTAGAAACACTCATGAAAATGGGAACAAACCATCAAGAAAAAAGAAAACAACACAAAACAATCACAAATACAAAAAAGAGAGAAAAAATGTCTACTTCAGGGTGTGTCCCTGGTGTCACTGGTAGACAGAGTAGACAGACAGAGCCCAGATCAGTGCTGATTAATCCCAGCAAGACAGCTGTGGATTTGCAGTGAGGTAGTGGATAATCTCAGCAAGCCTTCACCTTGGGCTATTAGCCAATCACCCTCTCCTGGGGGATGTCTGAACCCAAATAACTCACCAGCCACTGCAGTCTGCTGCATCCACTACTCTGTTCCACTGGTGTGTTCCTCTGTGGAGGCCTCTGGGGTCACCGGTAGTCACTGTGCATTTGTAGGTTCGATCTACCCCTCCACACAGTGAGTCAGGGCTCAGGGAGAATGTGCCACTTGCCACCTTCTTGTGTAGAGGTCTCTCTCTTCACTATTCCATGGGCTTCAAGTCTCAATTCAGATCCTTGCTGGTCCCAGGGACCCACTTCCTTCCTTCTGTTTCTTACATTGCTACATTCCATCTGGACACCAAATCTCAGAGACGGCATCTCTCTGCTTTCACCACACCACCATTTTCCCCAAAGTCAACATGGTGTATTTAAAATAATACATACCAAATACAACTGGTTCTGATCAACTTTTTAAATATTTTTTGGTGTATGGCAAATTCTCTTTTTAAAAAGATTATCAGTTTTCTTTCTGCAAATGTCTTACAATGAATTTTATTTGATTTCATGAAGTAAATTGCTATCATTATTGCTAGATAAACCAATAAATTCACATTTTAAGTAATTTTCCAAAGATCACATAGAACTCCAAATCCTTGTACCTTATAGTTGTCTATTCAGATAGCAGTATCTCATGATTTTTTAAATTAACTAGCCCTTAGAAATTTAATGTAGAAAATTCATATTACAGTCTAATATTTTAAGTCAATAGTTATTTCAAGTATTTAGCCACAATTTATGCTAAGCATCTACAGACTAACAGTTCTGTGGTGCTTGTTCTATCCCATAATCATCTTAATCATCAAAATACAGTTAAGCATCCATCTCTGGGCATTCTATGGCAGAAACAAAACCAAGAGAAAGTTATGGACCCTTCTTTCAGTAGGAGTTTAAAACTGTGACTATATAACCCTATTTCTTAACTCCCACCCTCACCTTCCCTCACCTCTACCAAATACTGCCAGATATAAACAAGTAAGGCATCTGCCCCATTTGATTTAAGGTACTTACTTGATAAATCTGCCCTCAGCCTAAAGACTACACAGAAATCTACTACCTTATTCCATAACTAGAAACAAGCCTCCAAATGCAAGCCCCTGGGAGGGTTTTTTAAAGTACAGTCTTTTGGAATTGGAATAAGAAAGTGAGTTGCACTTAGCAGCATGTTAATACAGAGAGAGAAAAAGAAAAAAGGCAGTAGCAGGACAGATTAAAAAATCCATAGATTTAACCAGAAGATCTGGGTTTAATTTCCCTTTAACTTCTCTATGCCTGCTTTTCATCTGCAAAATGAGGGCTTCAGATTAGCTAGCCTCGCTGGGCATGGTGGTGCATGCCTGTAATCCCAGCACTCAGGAGGCTGAGGCAGGAGGATTGCTGTGAGTTCAAGACCAGCCTGGGCTACATAGTGAGTTCCAGATTAGTGTCAACTACATAGTGAGACCCTGTTTCAAAAAGCAAACAAACAAACAGATTAGCTATCCCCTAGGGACTCTTTCAGCTCTAGCTTTTGATTTTTTACACTTATACTAAGAACATACAAAATGTTCATCATACTAATGTATATTGTAGTGAAAAACTAAAATTCATACAATGTTAATCAAAATGGGATTGATTAAACCAATGTTACATAAACTCTGCCATGGATTTATATTGGACACCTGAGCAAGGCCCAACAGACAAACCAATATGGAGCTCAGTCACAGTAGTTGAATGTGGCCTGTCTGCTGGGGGGCCCTGTGACCAGCGAAGGTTAAACTAGCTGGAACAAATTGATTGACTAAGCTGTAGCCAGTTGCTGCACAGAAAACAATAGCTGTTGTTTTCTCTGCTTCACTTCCCTTTTTCAGGAAATGCTGCCTGATGGTGTTAGCTAGAATTCTCTGAAGGTTCTCTGGTGCTAGGAGCTGCCTGATTCATGAATTGTTTTTGTTTGGTTTTGCTTTGCTAAAATGAACTCTATTTAATGTAATCAGTCTATGGCACTTCCCTTTTAACACCGATTATGGTAGGTATGCATAGTCATACATGATGATTTAAGTGATAATGTGGTTTTGTAATTATCAATAGGGATAATGACACATTATTGAAGTTTCTTAAAACAGCTTCAAATAATTTCTATCTAAGAAAATATTTTATATGAGGGAAAACACTTGTGTCAGTATCAGTTATTAATTCTATGGAAGGATTTAGAGTAATTCCTACTTTCTTATTTTTCCCTGATGTATGAATGTTTTATAAGCATAGAATACTTTCATGACAAATAAACAACAAAGCTATTTTCAAATATATGGAAAAACAGAAGTAAAAAGTATTAGATATTTTCTTGTAAACAAGTTTTTATAGCCGGGAGGGACCAGGGCAAGAACAAAACAGCAAAAACTCAGCTGAAAACATAAACAAAACAAAACAAAACAAAAAAAACAGCTGCTTTCCCAGCTGGGACTGCCTTCAGCAGGGTGAGGGGTGGATTGGCCTGGACCAGGCCCATCTCCTTACCAGCCTTCACCCACTGAGCAGTGGAAGATTGGTCGAACCATCTGACTGGTCCTTGGATCCAATCTGAGGCTATGGAAGGAAAGAATACTAATCACTTTATGACAGATCGATCTTTATAACTTTGTATTTTGTACTACTGTGCTTTAATTACTTCAGTTTCTTAAGGATCCTAATCAATCTCGATGATTCTATTTATGATTTAAATAAGCATGAAAAAATGGAGAGCTAAAATATTGGAAGGAAGATGGAATAAAATAGGGATCTATTTTAGCAAAAGAAGAATAAGCTTCCTAAATACAGAAGAGTAAATGACATTTTTGACCCAAATGAAAGACTAGTGGGGTGTGTGAATGCGGATTTTATGGGAAGTCTCTTATATAGCCATCAGCTCTATAGGTGTCATTCAAAAAGTGTTGGGTGTGTGCAACACACAGTAGGAGGACCTCAGCATGGGATGATGATGCATTGTACTTGAAGGATCCTTTTCTGTTTCTGACTTAAATTATTAGTTCCATAGTACAGTATTTTCACTAATTACAGTATGCTTTCCATGCTGAAATTAAATTCTTTGATTTGGGGGTCAATGGTTACACAGGTTAATCATCTAGTAGCTAGAGAGGGCATCTAGGAAAAGAGCTGTGCTCACAAGGAAGAGAATTTTTTTTGAGACAGGGTCTTAATATGTAGTTTAGGGTGGCCTTGAACTCACTATGTAGCCCAGACTGACCTCAGACTTGCAGTAATCCTCCTGCTTTGGCTTCCTGAGTGCTGGGATTACAGGTGTGCACCACGATGCCTGGCAACAAGGAGAATTTCTAAGGTTCAGACTGGAGCATCTGAGGAAGTCAGCTGGTCTCTACGCAATGAAGTGTGGGAGTAAACAAGGAACACGATGGGAAACTGTAAGAAGGGTCATGACAAGTCACAGCCTACACATAATTTAGGGTAGTATTCTTTATCACGTATGCCATACTCTATTTCCTGAAGGATTTTTAAGTTCTTGCCTTTTTTTAAAAAACGAAGCAACATCCTTCCCAACTGGAAGTTCTATTCCCAACTGGAGCCTATAGTTCTTGACACTCAGAAATGTTCCTTAAGTTTCTTTTTCTACAGTGATAGAGGGACATAAATTAAAATAGCACTAAAGATTTTCATAATCGGCACAAGTGAGTACTGGTTGCTTTCACTGTTAAAGCCTTGCTACAAATTCTAGCTCTTCTCCACCAAAGATATGGTGACCATAGGATGGGCATATAACCCTATTTGCCTAAAAAATCTTGGTTTGCACCTGCTATCCCAACATCATTAATAGTGTTCCCTTGTACTCTCAAAAGTGTGCTGGTTCGGACAGTATGTAATGTTCTATTGATCAGTCACCATCAAGAGCTTTCCCAGTAAATCCCAATATACATTAAAAGTAATTTGGCTTTAGTAGTAAATAAACCCTTGGCAAAAGACAGCTGCAAAGTAGAAAGATTTTATTATTAACTACTTGCTATCTCCTGACAATCTCTACATAAATTTAAATCAACTCTGCCCTCTGCTGTCTCATGACAGTATTATGACACTCCTCATTGAAGCTGACTGTTAATCCTGTGGATTACTTTAGAATGCTGGTTCTCAACTGGCCTACAGCTGCATTAGCCTTTAAAAGTTCCCACTGCCTAAGCTCCACCCACACCAATTAGAGCAGAATCTCTGGGGCTGAGACCCAAGCATCAAGTTTTAAAAGCTTCCTAGTTGGTCCCAAAGCAGTCAAAGTTAGGCACTATTGTTAGGGTATCAGATCAAATAGTCTATTGTGGTTTGTTTAATGTTGTTTTTAGTCCATCCAGATTCACATACACTCACAATCATGTCTGGATATGTTTTGGAGATTTGAAGAAAAAGAGGAGAATATCAGGATAAATCCACATTACTAATGGGGGAAATGTCATTAAAAAAAAAAAAAAACCCTTCTAAAGGCTGATGTTTTCCTTGGGTATAAAAATACTTTTCTACTTAGCATGATGATGTGGATGGCACCTACTAGAACATTTCGTTCATTCGACCACCAGCCTTGATGGCACAGCTAGGACCAAATTATCTGCTGAGCAAGCTCCAAGATGGTCAAGAAAGTCAGACCAGAAGTGGGGACAAATGAGACAGAACTATTGCCTTAAATAATGGCTTCCTTTTTCTTGAATGTTTAGAGACTCGTTAAAGGCACTTGTCATATGGAAAACCATTGATGAGAAAGCCCAGAAAATCTGCTGGAGTGGAAGTTGTACTAATTAGAACATTAACTAAATTAAGTCACTAGGGAGGAGCTAGAGTCAAAGGGAATTAGAGAAAGATACAGAAAATTCATTAATAATTGTCAAGAGAAAGAGGGAGCTTTTGCAGAAAACTGACCAAGAAACAAATTCTGAAGAGTAAGCCCAAAGTTCACTTCCCGCTTGCTTTTTCTGAAGTTCACCAGTTGCAGCTCATGGATCCAGTGTCAGAGATTGGTCCTGTTAGAAGAGCAAGCCACAACCTCTTTTGAAAATAGTCAGCGATTTTTATTTATTTATTTAATATTATTATGCTTAGACTGGTTTAGAACTCATGGGCTTAAGCGATCTTCCTGCTTCAGCCTCCAGAGTGCTAGAACAACAGACATATGCCACAGTGTCAAGCTTAATCACGGAATTTTTGGGGGGGGTACCGGGGATCGAACTCAGGTCCTTGTGCTTGCAAGGCAAGCACCGGAACCACTGAGCTAAATCCCCGGCTAATCACACAATTTTTAAAAAGTATTGAAATGAGCCAGGAGTGGTGGCGCATGCCTGTCATCTCAGAACTCAGGAAGCTGAGGCAAGAGGATTGCTTTGAGTTCAAAGACAGCCTGGGCTACGTAGCAAGACCCTGTCTCAAAAATATATATATTTTGAGTGTTACCAAGTGTGTGCCATAATACTGGATCCTCAAAGAGATCAGAGATGAGGGCTGTTTTGTTCTCAGGCTGCATTCATTCTAGCAGCATGGAGATAGAATATACAAACAACTCAACAACTCTAATATAAGGCAGAATTTGCTAAATGTCTTATGAAAGTTAGAAACAAAATATTTTGCAAGGAACTCTTTAGATTTTTTTAACAAGGTCTTGCTATGTGTAGTTCAGGCTGGCCTCAGACTCATTATGTAGCTCCGGGCTGGCCTTGATCTCGCAGGGTTCCTCCTGTTTCAGCCTTTCAAATATTGGAATTACAAACATGTACCACTCCGCCCACTCCGCCGAGCTCATAAGATCACATCTAACTACCGTTTTCATAGGGAAATTTCACTTGGCTCCTCCAAAGCAAGCCCTCCTTTTTCCTGCCTGTAAATCAACTTGAACATAAGAAAATTGTAGAAATTAAGACAAGAAAAGGTAAACCAAAGCCGTACTTAAACCCCAGGTGAGAAACCAGTGCCGAATTTAGTTGACAGTGGGGATCCCCTGAAGGCTTTTAGGCAGCACAGATAGGATCAGCCCTACACTGGAGGAGATTGAGCCAGGATGTCAGGAGAGTGACGGAGACAGGCCCTTACAGCCGTCAGGGGGAGAAGCCTTTGGGTCCTGAACAAGGCTGGTGGCCAAGAGAGCAGGATGTAGGATGTGGAGGACTCAAGAAAATTCTAAAATAAAAACCAGCAAGCCAACAAACTCCTCGGTATTTATGTATTTCTTTTGGGGTACAAGGGATCAAACCTAGGGACTGACACATGCTAAGGCAAGCTCTCTACATGAGTTCTCAGTATCCCTGGGCTGCTCCTCTGTACTCTAAAGCTGTCTTCTTCTAACCTCAAAGTCTGCCCCGGTTATTGTCCTGCTTGTACGATAAGGGGCTCCAATCTCAGAGTGGTGGCACAGGCCCTTAATTCCAGCACTCTGGGAGCCAAGGCAGAATGATTGCAAGTTCCAGCCCAGCCTGGAGAATTTAGCAATCTAGTGAGACCCTGTCTCAAAATAAAAAATGGGCTGGGAATATAGTTTAGTGCAAAGGCCCTGTGTTTAATCCTAAATCCAAAAAAAAAAAAAAAAAAAAAAAAACAGGGGGG